GCTAGGACTCGCTGCTGCTGCTGCTGCTGCTGCACTTTTATTTTCGGTCATTTTATTCGCGACGCGCTGATACGGCACGAAGTTGTCCCTGACCGCAACATCGCATGTTGTAGGTGCGCCAATGACGCTGATTTTGTTCCTGCGCACGGGCGACACATTATTAACAGTTCCTGTGACAAAGCGCGGGCCCCAACTGCTGCTGAGAAGTGTGGGCACTGTGTGTGTGTGTGTGTGTGTGTGTGTTCGGCATGGATAACTCTTGGTATGGCCAGGCAGCTGCCCGTAACGGGAATGGCACAGCACAGCCACCTGTCATATTACGGACATCGGGTAACGGGGCACCCAGGCGACGTTGTCGTCGTCGTTGTTGTTGTTGCTGTTGCTGTTGCTGCTGTCCTTTGCCGGCTGTTTGCTGTCCAACAAAATGTTTTGTGGTTCCCATTGCCCGTTGCAAAGTTTGTGCCTCCGGCTGGTTGTTTATTTTAGATACGCAGCAACATCTCTGGGACTCATTGCCAAAATGAGTCTTTAATAGTGGAGCGCCATAGTGTAAGTGGCTCGTTGACCATATAGAAGCATCAATATCGCTAACTATCTGCAACTCAATAGCAACTAAGCTTTAAGCTGCATCATCGAATCCCATCTTAGGCATAAAGAGCTGATCTCAAATCTATCCTTTGGCATATGGAATTAATATGTCTATATATATGTTACAGTGCCACGCCCACTTTGGGTTCTGCTTCTTTATTTCTAATATGTCTGCGAGCAAGTCCCATAGGTAATCAGTGCCGGCAGAGTCTAACTATTATCATAATATTGGAATAGTTGCATGCCGCTCGAAGCGTGCCCACATATGGCCATCCGCAACGGGGCACAGGACAAGGCACGTTTCCCTGAGCATTTAATGTATCGTGTGGAAGTGATTAACAAATGGCATAGAATTAAGCTTGGCTTATGAGTTGGAACTGACAAATCGCCAGCAAAAGGTATGGCAGTGTCTGGCGATAAAATACGAAATTAACATGCTAAAGTAAATGAGGCAACAATCCCCTGTCCCACACGACATTTGGGACAAAAAGTGTAAAAACGTAAAAGGCAGAAATTAAAAATGAATAACATAAAATAAGACAGACTTGGGTAGAAAGAAAATGGAATTCTGAGTGGGAGCGGGAGTGGGAGTTGGAAGTGGAAGTGGAATTAGAATTGGAATTGGAATTGGGTTCAATGGGGTTTGAGCGACAACCGGTTGGACCCAAACATGAGCAGGGCTGTCGGAAGCAAATCAACACGTCTGGTTGGGCCACTGACTGTGTGTGTGTGTGTGTGTGTACCTGTGTGTGCGTGTGCTTCTTGGGGTTGTTTCATTTTAAATTGGTCGTCGTCGCCGTCGTCGTCTTTATGTCACCTTTGACACCGTCTGGTCATTGGCATGACGAGGCAACCAAGGCTGTCGAGCAGCTTCTTGTTGGAATTGGTTTGCTTACTATAACGCTGGCTGCTCTATGAGGTTGGGACAATGACGTCGTCCTGGCGACCATTCAGCTCCAGCGCAAGCTCACAATAATGACGGGAAGTTGGCTGGCTGAATGGCTGGCTGACTGGCAAGACCATCTTAAGAAACGATAATGACAACCTAATAAACTGTTGCCCACGACAACGGGGCACAACAGCCGGAGCTACTGGCGCTGCTTGTTACCTACAAAGCCAACTTCGTATCAGTTTGAGGTTTCAACAGCTTCCAGATGCTAGGCAAGACACACACACACACACACACACCACACACTGCTCGTACAGAGCTGAGCGAGTGTCGCTCAAGCGTTAAATAGAAAACTTTATGTCTGCTCCGTTACCTGGCAACACTTCCCTTAGCCCTGGCGACATCAATTGAAGCACCTTTTCGCCACATGCACGCCTCACACCTACACACACACGCACACCCATCGGCTGCTCATTGCAATAAGTGGGCTTTCAATTAACATAGTACCTCGTCCCTAAGCAGCCTCCCCTCGCCTTCCGCCTCCGGAAACATTCCTCAATGACACTCCACGCGTAAGCAATTTGACTTCAGGTCATTATTAACGCCTTCAGTTGGCGCCTGCCGATGCATTTGGCCACCAGCAGCAGCAGCTTCAGCTCGCACACACATCCGGCTGCCTTTGGCGCCTGCTAATTATGCCATCATTAGAGAAACACACTCAGAGACACACGCACACACGCACACACGTGCAATAAATTGAAATGTCATTGTCTCCGTTATGCGACAATTTGCGGATAGATTGCGGAGTGTGAGGCCAATGCCTCCTGCTGTTCAGTGGCCTCCCTCGCTCACACATTGTTTGCTGTTTATTATGATTCGGCTGTCAAGCTGTCTGCCTGCCTGTCTATCTGCCTGTCCGCCTGTCTGCCTGTCTGCCTGTCTGAGCAAGTGTGCATATCTTTAATTGTCAAATTTTCGCACACCAATTAAATGATTTTCCGATGTTAATTTCTGCAATTTATTGTAATTGTTTGCAATTGAAACTGCTGCTGCCCCAGCCTTAAATCGATTATACGCAAATTATGCTGATTATATGTTAAATACGTTAAATAACCTCAATTTTCGGTTCATATTTCGTGCATATTCTTATTGGCAGCGCAACGCGATGATCAGCTTTAGCCAACTCAGCAACTCAAACGCATTGAAGCCGCAAGCAACACACTGCAAATTGGCTTCTAATGCGGCTTCATAATCTTACTCAATTATGCTCCTACTTATTAGAGTTCATTATTCATGAGTATATTGGCAATATATATATTAGGAATCATTAGTAAAGATATAGCTGAATAGGTTCTACTTTTTTCAAAAGTTTGAAAATTGCAATGAAAAATCCGATTTGAATGAAATAAAATTTTGTTTAATAAAAAAAACTAATCAATTTTGATAGGAAACAGTTTCTGATCTGCAAATTTTAATTATGTTTGATTTTTATTAATTTTTTTCAGGAACATATCATCGGAATAGGACAACTATTTCAAATAATTGTCTAACTTCAGCAGCTAAGGACACGATTTTTTATGAGCAGCATTCAGCTTCGATGGGATAAACGCCAGCAAGTATGTGGCCGCCGCAACCATGACGCCATCTGCATAGAAGAAGTGACAGCAACTCCAAAAGTATTTCTCGCTTTGCATGCCATGGATATATAAGTTGTAGTCATGCAGCCTATCAAGATTACATTGGAAGGCCTGCAGCGCCTCACTCCCATCGAATATATACATCGCTGCAAATCGCAATCATATATATGACTTATGGCTTACCCAAGCCTTTTTCTAGTCTCGTCCTGTAGCAAATCTTTCTAGGTCCATCTTAAATAATTCTAACTGAGCTCACGTAATATAAAACTATTAAATCAATTCGAAAATGATCGAACCTGTGAACCAGCTTTCCAAGCGAAGTAAAGTTGTTATTCATTTATATTAAAAGTGAAAGTTCTATAAATGAATATAATAAATATTTTGCCTGCAATATATCAAAGTGAAAGAGCATTTCCCAGAGCTCAGTTGCATTAGCTGCTTTGTCATGATTATTAGACTTGGGGTTTTTTTTTTTTGGTCTCCTTGGCTAATTATGTTATTTATTTAAATCTGTCAGCGTAATTTAATATGCGCTTAGCGCTCATTTATTATGCGCCAACTTGAACAGAACCGAATGGACCAAAGTGCATGCAAATGGCCAAAGTCCTAGATCCAGCACAGAGTCCAGAGAGAGAGAGAGAGAGGTAACCATATCCGAAATACGTACGTATGTAGTCGATGCCCTTTACCGGTTGGTTAGTCTCACTGTCTTTCAGTAGCTTCGGTTGGCGTTTTTCGCTTTCAAGTTTTCCCATTAATTTGAACTTTTTATTTGCCAGCTTTCTATCTACGCCAACTGGCAAGACCCGGCTATAAATTCGAGCGGCCGGTTTAACCCCTTAATTTAGGGTTGGCTGGAGGTGGCGGGCGCAGCGCAAAAGAAATGTGAATTAATTTTCTTAAAAGCTTTTCTTGGCGGCGCTGATTATCTGACCAGCTCTGCCCCGCCTTCCTCTCTCACTTACTCACGCTTCTGTGTTTATTTTCTGTCTGATTTTCTGGGCATTTGCCAGCTACTCAAAGCCTCTGATTATTGCCCTAAGTTAATTTATATATTTCGAATTTCTTTTGCATTTTAATTGAAGTTTTATTAACGAAACTTGATACGCTACTTAAGAAACTATATACAATTTGGTTGTTTGCATTGTGCTTAAAATTTATATTTCATAAATTTTCAAATATTCTGTGATTCGTATATATTTAATTAATTTTAATAATATTTTTGGTTTTGTTTGTTTTTTTTTCTTTTGCGCAAAAAAAATTGTATTTCCTTATCGACTTAACGCATATTTGCAATATTTATGGAGCATAATACATATGTTCAATTTCTCAATTTACACAGATTGGTAACTCTCTATATATATATATATATATATATATATATGTGTGTGTGTGTATTATAATAATTACCCAAAACCTCGTTCATACGCCCAGTCCCCAGCCGCACCTAAGTACAGTATTTGCGTTTAGTTCGGGCAATGCTAATTAGTTTAAATTCGATATGTGATCCGGCTTAATCTAGAGTTCTAAAAAAAAAATAATAACTACAATAAATTATACACACTGTGCGAGGATCGATCAAAGAGTTGTGAAGAGCAAAAGAAAAACACTTGAAACATCGGCTTTGGGCAAGAGCTTCTACTCTAATAAAGACTCTTGTTCAAATCGAAATGAAATTTGGTTGATAAAATTTCGACGTGCAAAGAAAACTCTCTGATATGAAATGCTCGTTTGCTCGTTGCGCTAATGCTGATTGAGTAACCCTCGCACGCTGCACGCGATATGACCTAAATTCACAATGCTCATGCCATGCCAGCCTACGGCTGCGCCCGCTGCCTCTGTCCTTGTCCCGCCAGGCAAGTGCCCAGCAAGGCGGCCGCCAGTCGCTAGTACGGACGCCAGACGTCCGTTGTCGGCTTGGGAGTGCGCGTGCGTATTGGTCCGCCCGCGCCGCTGGAGCCGCTGGCCGATCGCGATGTGGTGCTGACATCGTCCAGATCGATTGTCTCCACGGGCGAGGGCGAACGGCGCGACGAGCTAACTGGCGGCGAGGCATTCGGATTGGCATTCTCCGCATCCGGCGGATTGTGCGTGATCAGTGTGACGCAGCGCTTGATGAGATTGACGCCGTCGGCATCAGCACCAGCCGCTGGTAATACTGATGGCTCATGTTGCTGCTGCTGCTGCTGCTGCGGCTGCTGTTGCTGCTGTGGAGCGGAACTAGCAGCTGCAGCGGCCGCTGCGCTACGTAGCCAAGGCAGTTCGCTATAGCTGCCATAGAGCTGGGTGTAGAGCCACTGGCTCGACTGCGGCAGCAGCGGGCTCTGCAGGAAGAGCTGCGCCGCCAGCGCCGGATTGAAGCTGTGCGCCGTTGGCGCAAAGTGACCCGCACCCGCTGCAGCAAAGCCGCCAAAGAGTTCGCTTGGATTCTTGCTGCGCTGGATGAGAGCAGTGAAGGCGCCACCGCCGCCACCACCAGGTGCTGGCTCCACAAGCGTAGCCACGCTGCTGGCATCGGCGCTGAGCAGCGTTGGACTGCGACTTCGTCCCGCCTCCGGATCCGGTTCCTCCTCATCGTGCGTCAGCGAGCTGATGCTCTTGCGCGGCGATCCCGTCACCGAGATGCTGTCGCTCTCGAAGCCTGCATCGATGTTGCTGCTGCTGTTGTTGTTGTTATTGTCGTGATGCTGCATGCTGCTGAGCATGAGCGGCGGCGAGCTGCCCGCACTAGCATTGCAAGCCGGCGGCTGCACGAAGGCGCTCAGCGTGGCACTCGTCGTGGTCGTCGGCGAACCCTCCGGGCTGGTGGTGCTATGCGCCGCGCCCACTGTCGCCAACTGCTGCTGATTGTCTACCGAGCCGAGGCGGAGAAACAACAGTTATTAAAATGCACAAGCTGATGGAAATAATTGACTAATTACCGCTCAGACCACGCAGACCGCTAGTCGCAGTGCCCGGGAACGTGGCTCCATGGTGGTGCGCGAAGAAGGGGCCAGCAGGAAAGCCCGGACGTGCGCCCAGCGCCATATGAGCTCGCCAATCGGGCGCATGCAAATGACTGTGCATCCCAACCAAATGGTGTGCGAATCCTGTAAAGAAGATGAAGTCGAAATCAATTAAATGAGACGAAGATTTTCGCCCAGTTGCTGCTAGGCTTAGCCTGTGTGTAGTCAAGCTTGGCTCATCGAAAACTATTTGTCTTCAAATGAAACTATAGAAACTACTATCATGTGAGGCAAAGATATATTTTATACTGTTTCGTCTAATTTGATGCTACTTAATTAATTAATTTAATTAATTTTTCATAAATATTTTGGGAAATGTTTTATAAGCTGAAATATTAATGTCTTTCAATTTTTTGTCTAATAAAACTTATTTTGATGATATTAAAAATATATTGCCCTACTTTATGAGCATTTCAACTTATGTAACTTAAAAAAAAAAGCCTTTACTTCACACCATTCGAATGGTGAACAGAAAACTATAAGAAATTCTATATGAAAGTAATTGTAAGAAATTATATATATTATAATTAGATAATATATTTAGTAATATATACATAATATCAAGAAGAAGATCGAAGCATGACACTCATAGGCAAAGTCGAGCTCGATTCAAACTCTTAGTGACTTGCTCGCTTATAGCCCACTGCATAAAGTCTATTAGCCAATTTGAACTCATTAACTGGCAATGAGAAGTTGTAAGAAAATTAATTTTGCTTTATATTTAATTAATAGTTATAATAATTATTTATACACACATCAAAGTCTAAGAAGCACAGACTGAAAGTTTTTGTCTGTAAGTTCTCTTATATCCAACGCAGACTAATACTGAAAATTTCAAACTCTCATATGTTGCCTCTCCATGCAATTCTCATATGTGTAAGTAAGGTTAAGATTGATTTCTATGCCTAAAGAAGGTTTATGAGAAAATACTTGAAAGTTGCTGAGCACTAGAGTTCCTGGCTTTATGACTTGTGTATGCCAAGTCACTGTCGCTTTTAATGCAAAGCAAACTTGAAATCACAATAAACTTGGACAATATGAAATTAGTAGAAATACTATTTAATGTTTGTAGCAATAAAATTGCAAAAGTTCAAGACTTGACCAAAATATGAGTTCACGTTCAAGTCGAAGCGCAAGAGCGCTGGCAAGTCCAATGCCAAGCACAAAACCGAAGCCCGTCCGACCACATATAGCCCACTGTGCAAGACCAAAAACGTTGCCGCACATTTTGGTCGCTGCAAAACAACATTGGGCAAGATTACCGCCCACCAGCAGCAACGTCCCCCACACTGTCCCTGGGCCGTACATGTGATCAACAAGCCGCCATATTGCTGCTTATGTAAATGCATCTCGACCAGCAGACTGTGCTGAATGTGCACGCCCAATGAGAGTTGCACGGCGAGGCAGGACATGCGGACAGACTGAGGCAGCGCTGGATGCTACCTGGGCGAATCTGGCATGCCAGAAGGAGAGCCCAGAGCCAGAGCCAGAGCCAGAGCCAGAGCCAAAGCCAGTTAAAGCCAGCCAAAGCAACGAAGCGAGCTGAAGGTAAACTCCTAAATAAATTCATTAAAATTATCCCAGTCGACAATGTCGTTGCACCGTCTGGACGGCCTCTCTACCGAGCGACGCGTCGTCTCGACCCTTATGGTCCAACTCCTACGGCGTTGTCGCTATCAAGTGGCAGCCCACATTTGCGGGCTAGTGAAGGAAGCTGCTCTGGCTGCAAGCCATTGGGTCTACTGTTGATTGGAGTAAGAGTCGGCAGAGAGGTAAGGAGTGGGTGGCAGAGAGGCGAGGGGCATGTTGCTGCTGCCAAACAGGCTCAAATACCAGGCCGCAGTCGCACATAGTACGCGGTCGACGGCGACGCTGACTGAAGATGCTGCTCTAAGCAAAGCACAGTTGACTCATTGTCATCTGTGTGTGTGTATGTATATATATGTATATATATATATATATATATATATATATATGTGTGTGTGTGCGTGTGTGTGTGTGAGTAAGTCGCACTTAAGAAAACGCCAAGGCAACAAACATTGAGAAAATCTCGTCTTGCTAAGCTCCTCTCGCTTCTGCTCGCATAGTCGAAGACGAAGACCACAACACACACACGCATATACACACACACAGACACACATACGCCGCCCACATGCGCGCTCTCAATTGCAATCGCTTTGGCTCTCTCCGTCTCTTTCTGCCACTGCCAGCAGGAGTGCCTGTCGTAGTCTGGTTTGGCTGTCTTTGTCCCGCTCTGTCGCACTTGAGGCCAAATACTTGGCCAAGTTTTGCCAAAGTTTGCAACCAAAATTTCACCGAAAATGTGACACCAACAACCCACCAACGAACCAACCAGACCAACCAGTCAGACAGGGACAGGACCGAGCACAGGAATGAGAATGGGCGCACAGAGTCGGAGACGGAGACTGAGACTGGGCTTGAGACTGGGACTGAGACTGAGACCAGCAACCATCCAAGACGCGGCACATTCATAGACACAACACGACTAGCGCTATATTTGCTCTGGCGCATTACTTGATTGGCATGCTGCGTTATCCTTATCTTCTGGCATACTTTCAGCTACAACTACTTCATGAACTACACAACAAGTTGAAGTTGATTCAAAATCACATATGACACTTGATACCGCTCCTAAGTACAAGTGCTTCTAAGTAGGTCAAACAACTGTGATGCTGCAGCGTCTGTCTGAGATCTTGAAAACTTGATTTGTTTTTTTTTCTCGTTTTTTTTTACAGCCGACAACGCAGCTCACAATAGTTGAAGTTCTTGTTCAGTCGACGAAACGATTTTTGATTAATTCATTTCGTAATTGTATCGCTTTGTGAATGAGCTTAGGAATTTCAAATTACTTTGAAATTACTAATTTGATTATTATAAATTTTATTTGAAGGAAATACTAACTAAATCGCTTTGTTTCTAGATGATTGGAAATGATTAAATTAAAAAAAATTTAATCTAATTTATTTTAATTTTATTCTATTTGTTATATTATTGTTTTATAAAATTTATTTTTTATATATGAAAAATATATATATTTAAATCTTATATATTATTTTAGGAATAAACTCAAAAATAAAATCAAATAAAAATTTGTTTTTAAGATATTTAGGAATTTTACTATTTTTTTAGTAAAAAGTTAGAACTTTTCAAAAGTGTTATACAAGCTAGAAATTAAATTAAGTTGGGATCTTATATATATATATATATATATATATCCAAAGATCCCAACTTAATTTAATTTCTAGCTTATATAACACTTTTGAAAAGTTCTAACTTTTTACTAAAAAAATATATAATAATTATAAACTTTAGTTATATTAATGAAAAATGTATATATATATATATATAGGTAGATATATATCTATATATGTCTATATCCACCATCATTACATTTTTCATTAATATAACTTAAGTTTATAAATATATAGATATATTTCTATATGCAGTTTCAACAATTTGATCATATATACATTCGCCTAATCCATTCCTCATCAAAAAATTTTAATTTTTCATTTTTAATTTAAACTCTGAATAAATATAATATTTAAGCTACTTGTATATTGAAAGCTTTCAGCATGTGGCATAAATGTTCGCTAGCTTCTTCTTCTTTCTGTTCATCTTTCATAGCCGCACATGCATTAGCACTCATTATAGTATTTATTTTAGTTTTATATCATTAGAAAGTTGTGAATGTGTCCATGCCATTAGCAAGCTCTGTGCACCAACTGGTCCTTTTTATGTTAATATATACATATACATACATATATATATATATATATATGTATGTGTATAGTGAGATAAAACTATTTAGGTATATGGCGCCAGCTATGTACATCGCCAGTTGGGGTATATGGTGGGGGCCATATTTGTTGGATTTTAGTTGTGTCACACAAAATGGCAGCAGTAACAGCCCACAAAACTGCGACGATCACAAGCACTCGAACACACACACACACAGACACGCCCACGCTCTCGAGAATTATTTGAAGCTGGCAGCGGCACCCGACGGTAAAGCAGCGACGGCGACGACGACGGCGACAGCGACGGCGACGGCGACGGCAACGACGATGGCGACGACGACGACGATGAAGACTTCGATGCGGCGGATGCGGCGGCAGACATTGAGCAAATTGTGTTTCCATATAATATAACATCACGTCGATTTTGGTAACCCAGACTATATGAATGTGTGTCAATGTGTGTGTGTGGGTATGTGTGTATGTGTTTGCGGGCAGTGGCCAAGCCCCCACACACAGACACACACACACAGACACACACACACATATGTGCAAAGAGAGAGAGACCGCATGAAGGCATACCAAGGATGGCGACAGTGAAACCCCATAACAAAAACCTAAATATGCGGTCCTGTAAGGAAACCCTATGTGCGATAAAGGGTTAGCCGCGCTTGGTGTCAGTTTGGGGTCGGGCTTTCTTCGGCACGCCACGTAACGGTATTCGTCGGAGTCGGGCGTTCTCGTCTGGGCCGGTGGGCTAGGTGGGCGCCCAGCCTGTTGACGTTTGCTGGGTTCTGGTGCGATGGCATCCATAGCCCAGCCCCCATACATGAGTGAGCGTGTTCTCTATATGTATGTTTTCGTATGTCTGTGTCTGTGTAGCGGGGCATAACGCGGTGCTATTGGTGCGCCACAAAAAGCTTTCATGCGTCCAACTTCCCACGCTTTTTTTGTTTTTGTTTTCGTTTTCGTTTTTGTTTTGTTTTTTTTTTTTTATTTGTTTTTTGTATCTCTGGGCACCACATTGCGGCCTGAGTCGGCAGATGGGGCATGGAGAAATGCGTCTGAAATTTCATTGCAGCTTATGTGTGAACGAGTGCGAGTGCGAGTGCGGGGATTAAGGTCGCAAATCTATTTTACATAAAAGTGGCAGAGGTCGAGCAATCTAATGCTGTAATCTGTAAAAGGCATATATGGATCTATTGGCATTCCAACGGTTGCTAAATCATTTTCCATTGCCTGGAATCGAAAGGCTTTGCCGTGAAACGCACTTGCCGTCGGCCAATACAGCGCTTCTGTTTTTCCGACGGCATTTCCACTCGACGC